CAACCTATACTTTTTTTTTTTTTTTTTTACGTTTTGTTTACATTTTTTATTTAATTTTTTCGATCTGTTTTTTGTTTTAAACAAAAAAAATTGTCATAAATTACCTATTCGGAACCTTTGCGATTAACCGGATTACCTAAGGCATCTGTGCTGTTATTTAATTTGGCGTAGGTAGTAAAAGTTGTCTGTGTATTAGCCCGGCGAAAATTTACTTTACTTTTACTAACCATTTCTTAAAGTCAATTCACAATGCCCCACGAGAGTAAACTAATTTAAAGTAATGGCGCAGTATTGAACTTTTCATTCTTCTATATTATTAAAGTAACCTTTATATACTGTATATAAACGAGTAAATTCTATTTATTCGTTATTTCGTGTATTCGCCTGGTTACGTTTACTGCATGTTGTACGACGAAATGGTTCTTATTTTTGTTTGTAAAATTGGTTTTATATTTTTCTCTACCCACTATCAGATATTGAAGTATATAGGTTTTAAAATATGCTAAGCATCAAAAAATTGTCTAAAAAAATATATTAAAATACTTTTTTTTTTTTTTATCATAATAACACCCTTAAAAATAAATAGCCCAAAACATTAAAACGGATAAACAACGAAACAAAAAAAATAAATAAAAGTTACACTTTTTAAGTACTTGGAGAATAAATTGTTCCAGAACACCAAAAAAAAAAAAAAAGGCAAATGTACTTCTCATGAGATCCGGGCCCTAATGTAGTTAAAAAAAAAAACCCCGAATGCAGAATACCGCTGCGTTTTACGGACGTTGACATAATTAACTGGCAATAATTTATTTTCGAATCCGACTCGATTCGAATCACTACTACCTATATTATGTATTTTCCCAAAAAATAATAGGGTTATTTTTACGATCCAGGCAGATATGCGCGTAAGTTTATAATATAAAATGTCTACATATACCGGAGTTATTGCCCGATGTGCGTTCATTCAACGGGATCGGATATTTTTACGACAAGCGATTTTATGTAAAAAAAACAAATCGGGGAAAAAAATAAATATTTTTTCGTAATTTCGCATGCAGAATTGTACCGAGAGATTTGTACATATTATATACGTATAGGTTAAGTTACGGATCAGAGCCAACGGATGTTTTCTCGTTCCTATACCCCCCTCATTTTCTTCTTGTATAAAATATATAGATGTCGATATTTATTATTCAGATGGTCGTAAAAACGACTCGTTCGGATCGGGCGGAGAAGGTTCAAAGTAAGAGTTACGATCACCCCCGATATATACGCGTTTTACTACTCCAGGAAGCTAAACAATAGTTAAATAATAAAAAAAAAAATATATATAAAGAGACACTGAGACAGAGAGGGAGAGAGAGAGTGAGAAGGAAAGAAATAAGAAACTGTTCGACGGACAACGAGTGGACATTATCTCGTTCAATTTGACGGTCGGGCGGCATACGAGTGCGTATAAAAACTCTTAGAGGGGTTTCGCAATAAAAACGAGGTTAACAGCGTTTTTACATAGACCGCTACTTCGGGTGGCGGACCTCTTAAATTTGCAGAATAAACTGCATCGGAGACCAGGCGCCATTGTAGGAGCTTAGGGCCTTTTTTATATTTTTATTATCTATTCAAAATAGGAAAAAACACGTATGCATAAATAATGCACAGCGATGCACACGCACACATACACGTATATATAACGGTATACTATATCTATGTGCGGGGATGCGATAATGAATCCGTCGTAAAAAAAAAAGCCACAAACAATAGACTTTTACCTAAAAAATAAAAACTATAAATTTGCAGCCGACCGGAGAGATTTTTACGACGAAAAACCCCATTTCGGTTTTTATTCGCCAATATTTATACAAAACCGATTCCTTTGAGATTCGAACGGATAAAGTGCAACAGTTCTAGTTCAGATATGGGAAATTTATTAAATTCACTACCACACCATCACCACGGGGGATTCGGCACAAAGGGACTCGGTATATAGTGGAGTGCTTTTTATTGTGAAATGTTAGAGCATATATAATAATACACACCCGTATACGAATAATGCGGAAGGATTCATTTTTAATTTACATTTTTTTTTTTTATTATTTTTTTTTTTAATCCTCGAAGTTTTTAAAAATGCCACCGGCTGACGATTGAATAATGCGCGCGACATCGGGGGAATATTATAAAAATTTATTGTGAAAAATTATTATGCCTTTGTGTGTTTTGAAAGAGATTTATATTATTATACAACATTCGACGTAATAATAATCGTAGTTTTCTAAAAGGTATTAACGATATAAACATGAAATGGTATTTCTAAATAAATCAATAATAAAAAAAAAAAGACAAACACACTTATTCAAGGGAAAAGAGACGAGTAGATCACAAAAACATTTATGTGTAATCACCATAGGTAAAAACAGTGGCGTAGCCAGTGGGCAGGTCTGGTAGGCCCGGACCTACCTACTTTTCACCGAAATTATCACAATTTTAAAATAAAACCCTTTCCCATCCATTTATATTATTTTATCTCGGTTATGCAGAAAAATATTTCTAGTTGTATGCCTCTGAATAAAAGGCAACATGCTTGAGCGAAATAACTTAAAATTGTAGTTCTACCGCGTATACCCTAATGAAAAAATTATTATATAGTATACAACAATGGATATTCGTTGTTGGTTACCACCTAACGTTATTAAAAAGTTGAAAATATATAAAGTAAGCAGACAACTTAATAAAGACTATATATATATATATATACTTTTTTTGAGTAAAACAACCCAAGTCCAATGGGTTGTATTGATAAGTTATTCGGTACCTTTGGACTATATGTGCCGATGCCAACGCGAATTTTTCGTGGGTCCCTCCGGGGTAGACGTTTCTTTTTTTTTGGCAAATTCGGAAAATAGCAATCCTAGCGAAATCTGGTAAATTGCATCAATCATTTTGAGAGGGAAAACGAAGTAGCGGATTGGTTATTCATCGGTTAAGTAAGGTACAAAGGTACAAAGGTACAAAGGTAAGGTACAAATAAAAGTGGGAACCGTGGAAAATTCCGGATGAAATTTCCGAATTTGCCAACAATTTGCCCGTATACCAACTCGACGTAAGTAAACGCATGAACGTTAGATTTCGATTATTTAATATTTGAAAATCGTCGTGACACGGCATATACTTCCACATCGCCGACTTTATATTTTATATTTAAGTCGTAAAATGCGCATCGAAAGCGCTGCGTACACCCGTATTATTCGGGAGGTAATCGCAAAGGTGACGACCATACAGAATATTAATGCCTACTGGCGAGGGACTTTGCGCGCAAAAGAAATAACGAATCACGTACCGGACGGGATTTAATACGTACACATACACGGGAAACGTCCATACTTATATATCGTTTTCTTCAAAACGCCGTCGCCGCGAACTTGTACACACAAGTTCGTTTTGCCCCGGCGCATAAAAGTTTTGTTTTCCCGTTTCGGGTCGTACATATTATTATATATATGCACGCGCGCGTTTTCGGGCGACACTGCGGTGTTGCAGTCAATTTGCCGCCGGATTGAACGATTACGACGGAGCGGATGGACCGGTGGGAGGCGGGGGGAGGGCATTGGGGGTGTTTGATAAATGAAGTCGCATGTTCCGTCTCCCTCACGCCCGGACCACGTACTTGGCGATATCGGAACAAAAATAAAATGAAAATAAACGTTACGGGGTTTCAGGGTGTGTTTTTCTCGGGGACATAAGGCTCCGGCGTATCATTAATTCGCCGTCGACCGGTTTATATATATATTTACCGAATTCTGCAGTGCTCCGCCAAACGGACGACGACAGTTTCGCGGATATATAATATACAGGGTGTGCCACGAAGACTTACTTTTCCTCTCCCCCTCACGTATTTCCGTACCGACGGGAGGGAATATACCGGAATGGTATACCTAATGACTGACGGCTGCGGAGGTCTTCAGTTAGCCCAGAGATCGGACTGTGCGCGATACGATAAATAAGTATGTACATTATGCCTACGGTAAGTTCAGGGATTTATGTAAACAATGGCTTTCGTCGGCTTGGTCCTTATTATCAGTACCGGTGCATTCGTTACCGTTCTACTGTCTTCACGTTTCAATCGAACGATTCACAAATTATCGATTTAGAACAACTCGGCGCGATAATACGCCGGTATCTATGCAGCCAGAAGTAGAACATAATCAGAAAAGCGGACGTCGCTCAGCACCGTCCGGATTACAATATTCACAGTTCTTGACACACGCCTAATACTTCTGATTTTAAGATTATATCCGGAAATGTGATTTTTCACGTCATTGGAATCGATCACGTGGTCTACAGTTCCGTTTACTATCAGTGCTCGAATCGGGGGACTGTGCAAGGAGACGGAGCACTTCTATTATTTGTTTTCGTTTTTTACTATTTTATCATACTGGAATGTGGAGACAGTGGATACGTAACACTGACACGACATAAAGTCGTTTTAAATTTATCGCGGTTTCATAAAAACAATTTTTTTTTTAAATTGCCATTTTATGCGTTTTTTCATTTTATTTGTTTTTTAATAGTTTATATACAGTTAATTGGGATTAACAAGCATCGAAATTCGTGAATCGATAAGTAGGAAACTGTCGTGGCGAACGTGATGTTCGTAACGGAATTTCGGTATTTCTGTGTACACATAATATTATAAGAATCTTTCGCCGATGAGTTTAACTGTCGGAACGCTGTTGAATTTTTTTTACGACTTAGCAGAGGTCCGCATCTTTAATTTCGCCGATTCAAATACTATAGTCGAATACGCATTCCGCGGCTTTTTTTTTTCCTACAACACACCGCCGTTTGTATGTAATCGTATTGCGTACGCGGTATCCGGGCGGTGAATTTATTTTCGGCGCACACCCTGTGTACGGATAAGGCGCGCGCTTCGGAAAAACGGCCGTGCGCGCCGCGCGCGCGATGATCGATGGACGCGATTTCTCCGGACGGTTGAAAACAATTTGTCACCGTTGCGCGACATCGCTAACCGAATTACACGGCGGCCGCCGCAGCGGCAGCGCCGGCATCAGCGGCAGCCGCCGGGGCCTAACCTTATAACACGGCCGCGCGGACGACGAGAAGTCTGTTTCCGCCACCGCGCGACGGTCTCGAGAGGGTTTTTGATTCGCGTCGCTTTGTATTGTCCAATTAAACGGGACGGCGACGGACGACGACGCCGAGACCGCCGCCGCCGCTCGTGCCGAAGTGATCGTCGTCTATTCGCGATTCCGCGTCGCGACAATCGACGGCGTGTTCGGCGCGAGGTCGGGGACGATTTTCCGACACGACCTCTCGGCGGCCGCCCGCCCCGAGCGCGACCCGCGATCCGAGTGAAACGCATCGCCTCCCTCGCCACTCCCCACACATAGTGTTTTGAAGTCCAAACATGATTCGTTGTAGTAATAACGGCAATAACCGAGTGGTATATTGATTCGACATTTCAATTAAAATGTTTTAAAATGGAAGCTTTCTCGCCTGTAGATTTTTTTTAATACCGCCAAATATATACAAATTTAATTTTATTCATTGTTTGTTATTGTTATATCGAATTAATTACACGGACAACGTTATGGGCGCCCGTAGAAAATATATCAGGAAGGGGCATAATAAAATCAAACACCCGAAAGTACTTAAAATAAAATTATATTAATAAATTGTTGAAACTATATTTAAAATATAAGCCCAAGGGGCTGATGCCCCGTATCGCCCTCCACTCCGGGTGCCCATGGATAACGTATTATATTCAGGTTCAGTACGAGTGGTACATGGTAATATTATGATATTTAATGTTTATGACCATAAATAGGCGCGTCGTTTATGCAATACAATTCACAACCTTGCTGTGCTTAGTGTTTTACACCCCGTGAACATTCGTAAATTAATGCCGTAGAAAACGAAAAAAAGTCGAATTTTTTTTATTTTCCCTCCTGTCCCCGGGGAACGATGCCAATATTGTCTAATCGGGTTATCGAGTTCAAAAGGGGATTGCTATACTTACTGCCTGTGCTGTGCTAATTAGCCCTCCGGGTATAAATTGGAGTAAATACTGTCTGGAGAAAACAATCGATGCGTACGAAAGAATACCGTGGAAAAAAAACGTCTTGTAGAATACTTCATTGTTTTTTATTGTTTTTTCGGGACCTTTTCCCTCCTAGAAGGAAAAAAAACATTCATTACAAAAGACTCATCAAAATTAGAGGTTAATGAGTGGGATGAGCTTTTGTTTTATATAATACTTGTTCTAAATATACGTTAAAAAAAAAGCGAAGAAAAAAATACGACGTATTTTTTCTTTCAAATTAAAAGCGAGAGGGGACTTTAATCTTTTTGTTGTAAAACGTTAATTGGAACTTCTTAATAGTTACTGGTGAACCCGTTTTGATGGGTTTTTTTGAACGAACATTAAATAAATATATTGCTTAGTGTACAGAGTGATTCTTTTAACATGATCGAACGATTTTCTGATTTCTCGAAGGGTTATTAGTAAATTCTATTTCAGTTTTTTCAATCATTATATGGAATTATTCAAGGTTTATTTTAACATGATTCTCGAATTTATACACCTCTTCTCTTTAAATATTGAATGAGTATACGTTTTGGGTTTTCAAATAAACATCTTACGTTTAAATACAGATTAAAAAAAAAATTATTTTTCTAAACAAAGTGATAGTATGCATAACACTACAACATCAACAGTATACGTTTATGACTTATAACAGTTAAAGATCGGATTAATTCAATCGAATTGGCTGTCCGATATTAAAAATTATTCGAAGAATATCGAAAAACAATGGATTTCTATAACATGATTAAAAATCAAGTCTATTGAGAACATTGACAACGAGTTTATACCGTGTTCATTTTATTTTTCGAATTTTATTTACTGCGGCCAATGAATGGACGATTTTAAGAGGGCGTTACACATGCATTTGCTGTCTTACAAACACACGACATGCCAGAATTGCGTTCAGGAAAACCAATTTAACATTTTTAGTTTTAATATTAAAGTAAATTAATTTATTATAAAATTTAAAAGTAAGAACATTATCGTTATTTTAATTTTTAAGTATTGTATGTGAAACATTATAATTTAAAAATGCTTATACTTTGTTTGAAAACTAAAATATCAGAAAAAAAAAATCAATAACATATAAAGACAATTCTTTAAGTTTGGTAATTATTGGTCAATTAAACTTCACCCTGGTATTAAAACTAAATACATTAAATTGATTTTGCTTGAATACAACTTCGCTATGCCACAAATTACGACTCGTAATGCATATACTGTGCCGCATTTAGAATTTTACTACCAATATAAATAAATTCTACCCCTTTTTTTCAATTTCATGCATACATTTTTTTTTTTTAAATTACGTATACATAGAGCTCACAGTGGCTGTAAGGTGCCTCAAGAAGAAGTTTACTTAAGTTAGATTGTATTAAAATATTAAAATATATTATGATATTATTAGAATCATTTTTTTTTTCTAATATCTTATAAGAATAAATTTCAAGACTTGGATTATTAATTTAAAAGGTTTTTTTTTCGTAAATTGAAACTGAAATGAAATTATACTCGATCAGCTATTATTTTATTAATACATACATTTCAATACATTGAATAAAATAATTTAATGTATTTTCAACATTCAACAAAAAAAATATATAATATATAATTTTAAAATAGTTGATTTTTTTTTTTAAAGTAGTTACATATTTAAAGTACTGAAAAAAAGTAAGTTCCAAAATTTGAACAGCCAGAACACATAATTTAAATTTATCTATTACTAAAAATTATGAAATGCCTATAAATATATCTCAAAAATCAATATCAGTTCTACGATTATTTTTAACCAAATAACAACAAAAAAACAAAATTGAAAATATTAATTTGGTTACGCCGTCCAATAATTTTCGTCACAATAGTACTCATTACCCTAATCTTTTTTTATTATTATTTGAAAACTACTTTTATTTTTATTATTGTTGATGCTCATAACGCCATACAAATATATATTTTGTTAGAGAAACTATTTTTATAACATAACGAATTGTTTTATTTCTTTTTTCACGAACTTTTATTTTGGTACGCTTATTTCCAGGTTTTAAAAAAAATATTATTACCTGTTACATTATAATTTAGTTTATTAGTAATATTATATGAAATAGAATAGGTAAATTATTATTCCTCTTTCTTCGTGTAGAGACAGTGAAAGAAGTCCAAACTGATGAAATGGTGTTAACATATTATAATTGACGCGCCGTTATACGACCGTAGTCGGCTAAACAATACGAATTGACGATAAAATCCGCTTGCTTAATCGGCTCAATTTCAAAATATTTTAAAATTCTTTCTCATTGTACATCTACGTGTAACTATTGCTCCTAATTTCAAGTTCATCCATTTTATCGTTTTCGAAAAGTTTGTAAGTGAGTAGTTTATTATTTGTTTTTTTTGTATTTAAAACAAAAAGAGCTGATGCTGATGGGGACGGATGCAGTTACTGTTGTATGAGAGAAGTTGGGAAGATAGGATACATAAAGGTATTTAATTTACATCTGTACGCAAAGATAAACCATCGTCAACGATACAGGATCCGATGCGATGTTCGGTAAGACATATGAAATTCCATAATTTTTTAATGATTTTCGTCAAAGTTTGATCTGAAACGCTTATGAAAAAAAAAAAAAACTAACGCATTAAACTCGAATTCGTTTTTCAGACCTTTAATTACAACTTATAGTGTACCTTGTGTTAAATTTGACGCTCCTCGGTTAATAACTATAAAACGTTCCGAAACTAAAAATGTATACAACATAAGTGTAACCGTATAACATGTTAGACATCCATGCAACATAAATTTGACGCTTGGCATAATTGCACCCGTTTCACACCCTTAAACGCGGCTCTACGTTTGTACGACTGAGACAACAAAATGCACGACGTGTAGCCTCCTCTTAATTATTCGAGGACACGATATCCTGTATGTTATATCGGTCAAAGATGGGGGTCGGATACGGGACCATGTAATAAATATAATACGTAGTGGGTGCGTGTACCTACTGTGCATAGCATACGAATCATATACATATATATATAGAGATAATATAGTATTGTAGTATATCGTATTCGGGATGGCGTTGTGTAGAGCTCTCGACCGTCCGGCGAGGGGAAAAAACATAAAAAAAAAAAAATAAAATAAAAACTATCTCTGGTCGTCGCTTTGACCGTTCTCCGCCGAACATACAACAATAGGTCGGCGGTCCGCAAACGTCAGCGCGGGCTTTTAAGGTCCACTTTTATATTTTATACACTTCCCTTATATACGCGCGCGTTTGGCATTCTATGACGGTACATAATACCACCTGCGGCGACTTGTTTTGCGGGGGAAAAAAAAAATGAAATAATAAAAAAGAGTGAGAGTGAGAGAGATGAAAATCTCTTATGGAAAACATCACCGCGAGTCCGACGACGACAGATCGGTAATTTCGTTGAGTGCCCGAATTTCCATTTTCCCCGAAAAACATTAATGGACCGCCACACTTCATCGTCGAGAATACTGCGGGTTCTTCGAGAGCAACCGAATAAGCACCCGCTTTTTTTTCTTCTTTGGGTTTTGACATTTAGTGGTTATATTATTGACGATATAGAGTTCACAGCGGGAAGGAAATGTGGAAAATGGCAACAGGAAAAGTCACTCGTCTCGTGTAATATTATTCGATATTAATCCGATTTTTATAAACATACGCGGGTTATTTTTTTTTATATAGGGTGGTGATGTCCTTATCGGTAATTTAATAAAGCGTGTGGATGAAAAACAATTTTTATATACACGAAAATTTTCACTTTGTTACGAAAATTGTGTTATTATTTTTGATTTTTTATCGTCAGAGTTTTATACGAAAAAGGTTTTTATTAAAGTTCATTTAGCAAGACGCATTTGTAAAGAACGATTTTCTAAAAAAAAACCTACAAACTTACTAGAATGCAAATTTAAAAAAGACGTCCTAAGATAATAGGAGTAGGTGTAGCCACTGTTACAGATAATTTAATGTATACCTGTAAGCAAAAATAAAACATTGCTTAAGAAAAAAAAACAATTCTAAGCAGAGTTCAATTGATGGTGATGCTTTGTCAACAATATATATATATATAATTTTATAGTAAAAAAATTAAATAGGCTTTATATATTTTCTTTAACAATATTTGTTTAATGTCGTACCGATTTTCCCAGTTTTCCTACGTTTTTCCCGGTTTTTCACATTTGCTAGGAAAACTCTTTGTATAATCGAAAATTTACCTCCCTAAAGTACCCTACCAAAAATATTTCCTTTCAGAAAAATTGCTATCATTTTAAATCAGAGCCAAACTGCCTGCGGAAAAGTCGTTCACAGGAAAAGAGAAAGCCGTAATACATTTTAACTAACACTTACATTTTTTATATTTTCCCGATTATTTCGGTTTTTCAAATTTGATGAGAAAACTCTTGAGAAAATCGAAAAATGATCTCTTTAAAATACCTCTCTAATTTTTCTTTTAAAAACATTGCTATCATTACAAGTTGGAGCAAAACTGCTAATTGAAAAGTCGCACACAGATAAAAAAAAATAACATGAAAAAAAACAAATTAAACATCTTTGTAAAACCATAAGCTTCTTCGTTCCACTCAGAATCAAAAATAACTAAATACATTTTCGGAATGTTATATGAGTGAAATGAATTTGATTCAACAATTAGAACAACATTAATTAAACTTTCCGTAAGTTTAATACGTGTACGATACAACGAAATTGAGAGAATTCGTAGAGTATTTGGATTTCATACAGTTTGCGGAATCTATAAATTTATATACAGATCCATTAAATAAATATATATATATACGTATGGATTCAAAAAAAATAAATAAATACAATACCTACATAGTTTTTTTTTTCTCATTACACACATAAGTACTAAACAATATCGTTCGTTACTGTTTCGACGGTGTGAATTTTTTTTAACCGTCAATACTGGTAACAAACAATAAAAATAATAAAATAAAATAAAAGAAGACAGGCCCTTCAATGATACGGCTTGCTACACACAGCGTGAAGGATCTCGCGGTTGTCGCAATTTATCGGTAAATGCGAAAAGGGTTATTACTTTTTTTTTTCCATCACAATTCAAACGACACAATATTGAAAATATTGAAACCGCATTCGAACAAAAAAAAAAAAAAAAAACGATTAGAAATCCGTAAGCATTTAAACAGGAAATACAGCAATAACAATAAATGTTTTTTTTTCGCCGTTGTCTCCGCCGAACCGGAAATAATGGGGCGAGTGAAAAATCGTGGCCTTTTCACTGCGAACGCAGTCGACGTGCACGTATTTGTTTTGCGAGGACTCGTACGCGCATTACATTTTATTATTATTGTTATTGGTTTTTTTTTCCTTTTCAATCGGGGACCACTATTGTATAATATTATGTGTGTCAGGGAGAGGTTCGCCGACACGGAGGCGACTAATGGCGATCAGGTGTCGGCGGGACGACGTGCGGCTCGTACAACTGCTCCAACTCTTTCTTTTTTTTTTCCTCTTTTTTTTCCCTCGATAAATAATAATTGACTTCCGCATATTTGAACCCATTGATCGTACGCCGAGCGGTTACTATCGCTGCACACGGGGCACAATATTTTCCCGGCCGCGAGTCGATTAGAAATATTATAAATTATACTATTACATCCGCAGACAACATCTGGCGCCTCGGGCTCAGATGCGAGAGATAACACCGCGGAATAATATAATAATAATAATAATAATAATATTACCACCGTTATGCCGCAACGGAGTCGCGTTACCCTACAATGCGACTGTGCGTCCATATCGTTATTCGCGTCACATTTATCTCGTTTCCGACACCGTTTCGCAGGGAATTGTTAAAATCGAGTACGCGCGCTCTCCGGCCGTTTAAAACGTTTTATCGACACAGTAGCCGGACCGGGCAACGGCACGCGGTCCGTCGACGCGAAATTATTATAATATAGCATCCGTTAGTTAACTATTGTAATATCGTAACCTCCGGCTATGGCGAAAAAGACACGACTTAGACACAAATGAGAGAGAAAAAAAAAAAAAAAAAAAAAAAAAAAATGGATTTTTGTCAATTGTAGAGGGCATTTCGAACAAATCGCGCGTTTCAACGGCTAGTCACTATACAACTTAAAAAGTAAATACGATCGGTATATAAAAAAAAAAAAAAACACAAATATTTTAGAAAAAAATCGTTTGGGGCGTAAATTACCCGTGTGCCATCGATTAGTAATGTACTGAACAGTTCCCGGCGCCTTTATTTATCGACCACGCAGTAAAGGTTTTAGGTTATGACAGAGTACACGAACTTCCTTGGAGCTGCAGTATTAGATTTGAACCAAAAAATATATAGGCTACGTTTTATAAAAGCCTACTAAATTCCAAAAACAAATACGGCTATATTTCGGGTAGGGCCAAACTCGAATACTCTCTGAAGACATGCGAACGGGACATTCAAATTTGTATCACGGGTAGACCACATCGGTGGAAAGTTGAGAAGTCCTCATATAACTTTACAACTTCCTTGCAGGAAAACTACCAAAAAATAATAATAATAATAAAACACAGTATTAAAGGGAACTTGCATATAATGTGATTTGAAAACAAGTTAAAAATAGTTTTTGATTAATAGTTAGAATTTTAATGATCAGTGGCGCTGAACCCTAAGTTAAGGTCAAGCCTTGATCTGAATTATTTTAAAAATTAACCATATAGGGTTACTTCATTTTGAGCAAAATTCGGTTGCCAAACCGAATGAATACTTTATTACAGAGACAAAAACCTTACGCTAACCATCATTTTAGACATAAACACAGACTGGCTGTGTTTAGTTATTGGTGCCTAACCTATATATTCGGTCGACTAGGTAATCCTAAAAGAGCGACTTCAACTGGTTTATTCAATACACTTTCACGTAATACTAAAATAGACCTAGGTTTACATTAAAAAAAAAAAAAAAAACGTTAATTTATATGCCTTTTGACGTTTAAACCGAATTCCAGTTTAGTTGGGTAGGTACTTTGCTGAAACTAATTTAATATCATAACATTTTTCTTCTTTTTTTTTTTTAAAACTACAAAAAGTTTTACTGAAGAATTATTAAATTGTTTTTAAAAACCTTTACCTCCTCTGTTCCGTGTATATTAGTCAGTAAATAAATTGATCATTTTGAAATGTCTTTTGGACGTGTGCCCGTGTGGTTTTTAAGAAAATATGTTTGGCATCAAGAAATTATCTCATGTTTGGAGATTTCGAAAAGGAGATACATTGCTGATTCATGCAATATGATTGTTTAGCACCCCGTACAGTTATATATATAATTTATAATATTGTAAATACAATACAACCGTACAGTATTGTTCATTGAAGGTCCGTTTTATAAATATTGTGTTATAATTATTAGAAAAGATACCTTGCACGATCGGTGGGCCGCTGTTGTAAGAGTCAAATTGGGAAGGTAGGATATAGAGGGTAATGTAATGCATATCTGTACGTAACGATTAATCTTTGTTAACAGAAAACGATTCTGAGCAGAGTTCGGTTATATATGTATTAAAAGGTCATAATATTTACGATTTTCGTCTTTGATACTAAAATCGTTGTGAAAAATTCTGCATTACACTTAATTTTTTTTTTTCTAAACACAAAGTAAGACTTATAATGAACTTCTTGTTAAATTATAAATAGCTAGAAAATGGCTGAAATTTTTTCCAAATGTTCCCACGTCCGGAAAAGATAAATACGAGTTTTTTGACTAAATTTCAAGTTTACGAATATTTTTAATTGAATTACAACAGAAAAAAAAAAATTAAAAATAATACACTTCGTACATTTTCTTGTTTTTCCTACGTTTATTCCCGGTTTTTTCCAATCGTTTCAAACACCAAACAATTAACCCCTTAAAGTACCGCCCGGATAAAATTTCCTTTCAAAAAAGGTACTATAAACACTTGAAAATTGGAGCAAAATTTCTGGTAAAAAAAAATAAATAATAAACATCACTGTAAAACCAATACAGTGTACATTCCTCGCTCCAAATCTAAAATATCGTTGATTGAAGGTTGTTTCAATATTCGTATCACCCGAGTCACAGTGCTGTTAACCGTTTGGGGATAATATTTCTGAGAAGATTTTTCGAGCACGAGCATTTATGAGCATTTCAATTTTTTCGTTGCTTATTCGTGTTTAAATACAAATGTAATTATTGCTAAGAATATTGTAATATTTGTGTGTAAAAAATTTATAGTAATATACGTGATTATAATTTATAAGTACAATACGAATACTAAAAGTCAAATATTTTGTACACTTAATTGTTATACTAATATTGTATATTTTTTATATTATTCTATTTTTTGGGATTTTGTTCACGCTCGAGCGTAATATATTCTTTTTTTCGACAACGTTCTTCACTCATAACACTGCCAGAGTATAATAATATAATAGACATCATATTAGATGTTAATCATTGTCTATTTATACGAAACAGGAATACATATTATACGAGTTAATGTATAAGTAGGTAATGGAATAACAACAGGACCCTCTGGCAA